GGGCACACGTTCTACCACCTCATTACTGTTATCTTGTACCCTGTGTTTGCTTAATGAACAGCAAAGGAATAAAAATAGAACCTCTCCCAGGTGCTGTGTTTGGTATACATCACCGGATAAATATCCTGGGAAAGGCTCTCCTTCTCCATCGCTGTGTGCAGATCCTTTATCCTCCTAGTGATGTCAGAGGAAAAGTATGTGCATGGGGAAAAGGGTGAATCATTACTGTTATCTTGTACCCTGTGTTTGCTTAATGAACAGCAAAGGAATAAAAATAGAACCTCTCCCAGGTGCTGTGTTTGGTATACATCACCGGATAAATATCCTGGGAAAGGCTCTCCTTCTCCATCGCTGTGTGCAGATCCTTTATCCTCCTAGTGATGTCAGAGGAAAAGTATGTGCATGGGGAAAAGGGTGAAGGAGAGCAGTGCAGAGCAGGAAGACCTTTGCCCGAAAGCAGCATATACTGCTGGGTGTCAGCAAATATCCACACCTGCACTCCAGCCTTTCCGGCCCGTGTGCCTGCGGTCAGGTGGAGGAGGCGATCGCTTGTCACACACACATAGCTGGCATTGGGCAGGCCTTTGGGCAGTGGAGGAGGAGGAGGAGGTTGTTTTTAACTTGTCCCTTGCAGGTGTCTGAGTTGTGGTCTTTCCTCTAGCTGAAAAGTCGTGCTGCCTTCCGGAGCCGTGAAGGGAGCTGACCTGTCTCTCCCATGGACCCGGATTAGAGTTTTTCAAATGCGAAAGGCAGGTTGTGGTAACTTTCAAACTGGGAACTTCAGGTTAAAAAGCAGCTGCTCAGGTCATGCTCATGTCAAGGAGCTATGCAAACTGAGACAGAAACGTATAGGCTGGAAGAGATCCTGAGCTGGCTTAATCCATCTCCTTAACAAGTGGGTATCTCGGATAGCTCTGGCATGTTCTGCCTTGACTTATGCTCATTACTGTCATTATTTCTTTCTGTGACATGGTGTATCCTTCATGGGACAGAGCTGTCCTGTGCCACAGCTTTTCCCTGCCGAGGGAGCAGCTAAAGTCCATGGAGCACTCCTGAGACAGAAGAAGGGCTAACTGGGTAAATCTTTTCCCAACACCTTTTGGGACCCCAGGTCCCTGCTGAAGCTCAGAGCCTGCTATTCTAGCAGTAATTGAGCTGCCACTCTCTGTCTGCTGACAGCCTCGTCTTAGAAACACTTGAACTTTCTGTTGTGGTAACTCAAATTGGCCTTACAGAAGTGCTAAACTGTTAGCGCTTTACCCTGAAAGTAAACTTGTGTGTCCTGCTCCACTGGAGTGAAAGGCAGGACCAGCAGGTCGTGCTGGCAGGCAACAGGAGTCTCCAGCTGGTACCAGTGTCAGCATCACTGGTCTGTTACCGTGGCTCTGGCTCTGGGGGACCTGTCTTTGTCCTTCTAAAGCTTGCTGGAAATCTGGCTTACTGGCTTTGCAAGGAATGTAGAGGAGAGGGAGGTGAGAATGGTGTTTTTACAGGAGCAAACACAGGGAAACCCCCCTAAGATGGGTATATGCTGTTCTTTAACTGGAATGAAGCGCAGAGGAAGCCTAGTGATCACCCAGAAACAGATGAGCTGCCGGAAGTCCATAAATCACCACTGCTAGATTTAACTCTGAGATGTAATGAAACTTTCTAATAACTGGAGTTGAATTAGAGTGATCAAGAAATTATGAAGGCACACTCCCTCCATTAGACATGCATGACCTGACAAGTTAATAGAGGCAAACAGCCCAAGCGCAGAGGAAGCCTAGTGATCACCCAGAAACAGATGAGCTGCCGGAAGTCCATAAATCACCACTGCTAGATTTAACTCTGAGATGTAATGAAACTTTCTAATAACTGGAGTTGAATTAGAGTGATCAAGAAATTATGAAGGCACACTCCCTCCATTAGACATGCATGACCTGACAAGTTAATAGAGGCAAACAGCCCAAAGACACAAATTACAGACTTCCGTGGAATGGGGCTGATGACTAAGCAGTTCAAGAGCAGGTTAATTTGTGGCCACGTGGATTTCATGGCCAGCTGGGGCCATGAGAACATTCACTGTTCCTCATGGGCTACCTATAAAAGTACAGGTACTTGTGCTGGTCTTCAAATCCTGTTTGGAACTGTCAATTTAAGTAGTGAAATACCTTAAGGCTGTGCCTGTTTCTTCTGGTGTTCTGCTGAGATAAGTAGCAGTGGCCCAGGGTCCATAAAGCAGTAAGTAACTTGTCCAAGCCACTGCCCAGATGAGAGGGGTTTGGTATCTCGTTAGGTGGCTTTGCAAGTGAGCTTTTAACCAGACACTGGCAGAAGAGAGGATGTTAGTGCAGGAACTGTCCAGCCCTTCAGCTGCCTGTAGCAAGGGCAGGGCTGAGAGAGCTCTTTGATTGTAAAGAGCAGCTTTTGTGTTAAGCTTATCTCAAGCAGTTTGTGGTCTCTGAAGCCAGTGGTGGAGTGCTGAGCCTGGGTCGGCACTGACCTGGTGTGCTGAGTCACCAGGTGCACTAACTTGCAGATTCCTAGGCAGTTCTCTTCCTGTGGACTGTTGTGACTCAGGGACATCCCGATTTTGATCATCCTGCCCTGAATGCTGGATTGTCATGCCTAATTGTGGAACCCTGGCTGTGTCCCTTGCACAGGTGCCATGCCAGACCAGTCACAAACCTAACGTAATCATCAGGCCTAATTTTCCTGCCTCTCCTGCGGAGCCTCTCTAAGCCTGTTTGGGCCCAGTTTCACCCAGAGTGTGGGTGAGAGGTGGTCACATGCACCAGGTTTCTGTTTGTCTCAATTCTGCATTGAGAGTTGATATTTCAGAGATGTTTCCTTGGGCTGCCTTATATAATATAGGCAGCAGATCTCTCAGACCTGTATCTTTTCAGCTTGCAACACTGGATTTTTCCTACTAGGATAAAAAACTTCTGTTCTTCTTGTATTAACTTAATGAGTAGAGCAGCTTAAACACTTAGCTGGAAATGTATCTAATTTTGACTATTGTTTTTATCTCTTACAGGTTACCTATTGCAAGGAGTCCTGGCCACAACAGTGATCCCATTATGTGGGCTTGGGGAAATGGAGAACTGCACAACAGCACTCGGTAAGTATTGCACAGCTCTTTGTTGGTTCCCATCTTCCTTGTGCTGGCAGCCTTGCTGAAGTGCCCTTGGAAATCATTTTTATGTTCAGCTTCATTGTCACTTCCTGAGATGCTAACCAAATCCCCTTGCAGTCCAGACAGAGAACAGCCCACGAGTGGCTCAAGTCGGGATCACGAGATGCAAGCCTGAAATGAAGGACTACTGCTTCCATGGGCAGTGTGTGTACATTGTGGACTTGGATGAGCACTATTGCAGGTATGGACAGGCCATATGCATTCTGCTGACTCCCTGAGGTGAGCTTGGAGGTGAACCATGCATGGCCTTTGGTCTTCATGCTGTTGACACCAATCCAGCCAAGTATTAAAGGCTCATAAGAACATGAAGAGGAGTGGTATATCTGTGATACACCTCAGCTGCATTTAGGCAATGTGCTGGCTCCAGTGACATCTGGGTGAAAGTCTTAGACACCTGAAATTAGTCACCAACGTAACTTACACTTGGGACATTCATTCTAATGTGCTTCTCTGTTCATCTGTATTTATTGCAGTGTGAGATCCAGACCTCAAGCACAGCACCAAAGTCTCCCCTTTGATCCAACTCTACAAAACAAAGACCCTCTAGGCATTTTTAAGGGCACCCTAGTTTACCTGAAGAATTAGCAACCATTTCTAGGACTTATAGAAGTGTGTGTACCCCCACAGCCAGATCTCTAATTCTGCCTCTCTTACCCTCAGGTGTGATGTAGGCTTCTCTGGAGTGCGCTGTGTGCACTCGGAGCTCCTCCAGCAGCCCCTCAGCAAGGAGTATGTGGCACTCACAGTTATTGCAGTTCTGCTCTTCGTTGCTGCCATCTCTCTTGCAAGCTACTACATTTGCAGAAGGTAAGATGCATGTTCTTGGTGGCTCAGGAAGGAGAATCAGCTGTAGGTGTTGACAGACATCCTCTAAGCACCTCCAGGTAGCCTGGAGCACCTCAGTCACTCGACTGCATGGAGACAGTTTGATACACAGACCTGCACTTGAGGTGTTCAGAAAAGGCAGTGTGCTGACAGTGTGGCATGACCCAAGTTGCAGACCAGGCAGCAGCACTCCCAAGTGCCTTTTCACCCTGGCACAGGACTGCGTCAGTTACTTCATGTCTGGCTTAGAGGGTGTGTTGAGGTCAAGGAGAGTGCTGATAGGGAATGGGAAAATTCTAGTTCCTCTTCTTGGTAATGCCTTTTCCTCAGTCCTAGGGAACTGGAGGGCAGCTGGATTAACGCCAGCTGATTTGTTTATCTGCCATGTTACTGTGGTGACTGTGATATCACAAGCATTGCCTTATCAGCTCTACCATGGGGTACAGCAGTGTTCTCCATGAACAGACCCACAAGCAGGAGGAATCGTTTTCCAGGCTAAAAGCTATGGGTAAGCAGCTGTCAGAGAGCTGAGGAGGCAGAGGGAGAGCTCAGCTTTCCAGATCTGATAACTGGATGGTAACTAGCAGGATTTCTCAAAGACAAGCCTAGTAGCAACAGGAAGACTTTAAGGCAGATGAGGAATTTTCAGTGAAGAGTTGAGAGAGGAGACTCTGCATGCAAGTGATCTCAGCCCTGGAAATGAGCACAGACAGAGCCCAGCTACTAGAGACTTACACGTGAGGAGGTCATACAAATTTTTCTTTCCTTCCTTCACCTCCCTTGTACTCTCAACAAGCCATTTGGAACAACCAGGACTCACGTTTCTCTCCTCTATTTCCAGGTACCGAAGCAAGAGGAGACAGACAAATGCCAGTGAATACAAGGAAGTTGGTGCCCTATAGGAGGAGTGGTGGCTCCCTGCAGGGCTCTGTCCATCTGGATAGACTCTGTGGCTTCCCATCTATTTAATTGTTATTTTTATTAATAATATTGACAATATTTATAACCGTTTACAAATTTCAGTTGTTTGGTGATTGAATCAGCATAGGTCAAGCATTTTATTTTCAGTGTTTTATTTTTTTATTATTAAGTAAAATTTCCTACAGGGAACCCACCTGAGTGGTTCTGTGGGACAGAGATATATTTTTGTAAAAACTCATCTTCTTGCTCTGAAGAGAAGAATTTTATATTTATTCTTGTGAATATACTCAAAACAATTGTATTCCTTGAAATAAAAGTTCTAAACAAAGTGTGTGCTCAGTCCAGAGTGGTGGTGGATGGAGTTACCCTCAACTGGTGGCTGGTCACCAGGGGCATCCCCCAAGGCTCAGTACTGGGGCCAGTCCTGTTTCATATCTTTATTGGTGTATCCTGGGGTCAGTTTTGAGCCCCCCATGACAAGAAAGACGTTGAGGGTCTGGAGCTTGTCCAGAGAAGGGAATGGAGCTGAAGGAAGTGTCTGGAGCACAAGGAGTGGCTGAGGGAGCTGTGGGGACTCAGCCTGGAGAAAAGGAGGTTCAAGGGTCCCTCTCGCTCTCCACAGTTCCCTGACTGGAGGTGCAGCCAGGTGGGGATCACTCTCTTCTCTCAGGTAATAAGCAATAGGACAAGAGGAAACAGCTTCAAGATGCACTGGGAGACGTTTAGATTGGATATCGGGGGAAATTTCTTCCCGCAAAGGGTTGTCTAGCCCTGGCACAGCTGCCCAGGGCAGTGGTGGAGTCACCATCCCTGGAGGGATTTAAGAGTTGTGTGAATGCGGCACTTGGGGACACAGTTAGTGGTGGCCTTGGCAGTGCTGGAGGAACAGCTGGACTTGATGGTCTGAGAGGGCTTTTCCAACCTAAATGATTCCATGATTGAAGTCAAACTTGGTACGGCTCGAGTGAGCAGGATGTTTGAAGCCCAAGCAGTTATTTTTTGGAGAGAAACCAGAGTATTGCTAATAATATGTATCAATGCACCTTAGGCCAATGAGCAGCTTTTAGCTGGCATAACTGGAGGGAGTCTGAAAGCACAGCCCCTAGTGCAGCCTATCCAACAAGTACTGTGTGACAGCAGCATGGATCTCTGCTCATCCATACCCTCAGGAAGGTTGTGCTGGTTGTATTGTGTGTTACAGGAGGGAGGAGGCAGCACAAGTTGGAGGGTCTCTGTAGCTGAACATGCTAACCCATGGCAGCTCAGGGTGTGAGTGTAGCTACAGGAGGAAAACTGCCTCAGAACCAGCGCACAGGTCCTGCCCATAGTGTTTCTGCCACAGTGTCCATCATACAGCTGGGAGCAGGGCAAGGAAGGTTGTTGAATTTGGGCATAATGCAGATCCCTTGTTGGTCTAAAATAATGCTAGACTAGCCTGCTGGGTTTAGCTGCACCCTGAGTGTGGCTCCCTGTGAACAGGAAGGATTCTTGCAGCACCTGAATCATCCCTGCTAATCCTGTCACTTCTCACACTTCCGGAAGATGTGAGAAAAGCCCAACCTTTATGTCATTCTTGGTCACAGCCAGAGATCTGGGCGAGCTGCCTTGGCCTGTGTTGATGGGTGTGAGACCTGTGATGTCTTGGCTTGTGCAACAGTGGGTTATCCTGTAGGCATTATGCTCACCGTGCTGGGCCTGTGCAGGTAGCCTGTGGCTACCTTCTCAGATAACTCAAGGGCTCATTGCTGACAGTGCTGCAGCCCAGTCCTTGCCCAGCCCTCAATGAGGGTCAGTCAGTGTTTAAGATTGGGCTAAAATTTGGTTTGCTTGGTACGTTTTTTCCCTGCTCTGCCTGGACACACTTGTCTCCCTTCAACACTGAGTTAGTAGGGGATCGCTGGTCATTCCCAGTTAACTGGGTTAACTCTGTGTCACAGGGTCTTTATTAGCTGCTCTTCAGCTTTTCACTTCCTCTCTCCTTCTCCTGTAATCCAGTTGTGACACAGGAACCTGTTCTGCTGGGTAACTGGTGACAGCTAATGGCAACCCCAGCCACAGCCTCGTTGTTAGCACAGCCTTTCCCAGCGGGAAGATGGGGCAAAAATCGATTCTTGGAGCCTCCTTCCATTCTTGCAGTGACCCAGTTAGGAGGTGTGGTGACACACCTCTGTTTCCCCCTCAGGCTTCCCTGCCTGCCCACGAACTGCTCTGGCCAGTCCCTGTTTATCTTCCAGAAACTTTTCCTGGACTCCCGGAGAGACTCATCCCAGAGGCACGCACGGCCCAGCTCCACACTCTGCACTTTCTGCTCCTCTGCTCCACTTGGCAGGAGCACCCCAGAGGGGCCTCTCTCCCCACCTTCTGTCTGTACTGACTGTGTATTTGAGGTTCTGTTACCAGAGCTCGAGTGGCCAGTTGCCCTGCTTGCTGCCAGCCCCTCTGCACCAGAGCAGCCCCTGGAGTTGAAGGTGCACCTTTGTGCTGCAGCAACTGGGTCCACGTGCCCCTTGCTGCTCTCGCAGGTTTCAGTTGCAGTAACAGCAGCAGCCTGGGGTTTATTGTGCCTCTAGCCATTTGTGTCAGGCAAATCCAAGAGGAATAGTCTACTTTCAGGCCTGTGCAGGATTTATTTGTTTTTTCTGTCTTAACTTTTAGCTGACTGTCTTGATTTGGCTTGGCTTTCTCCACCTATCCTGTTGCTCATCTGACTCCCAGCCTGTAACAGCCCTTCCAGCCCCTGTGTTTTTCTTGCTCCTGCACCTGATTGAGAAACTGGGGAGCTTGGGCCACATACCAGCCTGCCACCTCAACAGCTTTTGCTGGCTGGACGTAGCTTGCCAGTCTAGCAACCACACAGCCGGGTCCTGCCGACACACCCCACATAATTTGTCTCTGACAGTGAGCCTCCCTCATTCTTTCCATGGTTTCTGCTGGCACCACCTCTGTCCCTCTGGTGCAGCTCTTCCTCACCTGCACCACCCACCGTCAGTCACCTTTGGCTGCCTCTGTCTCCGCTGAGAGCACCTGTGCTGTGCCTCCCGGGTGGCCCTGCCTCAGCCTTCCTTACCTAACAGCTTCACCTCCTGCACAAGTGTTACAGGCTCCTGCCAGGGCAGTTCTTCTGTGCCTGTGAGAAACTGCTTCACAGCAGAGTGGGTGCCTGAAACAGGCAGGGACAGGGACAGAGACCCACCCTGTACCTCAGCCATCTGCCTGTCCTCAGGGCCACCAGCATGTCCCCGGGCAGGGGTTCTGCCTGGGACACTTGCTGGCAGCTCTCTGGAGGACTGAGCAGCCACAGCTCCCGTAGCTGCAGAAGTGCTCTCTTCGAACTTCCCTATCCTTTTCAAACCTACTCCATCCCAGACCTGCCCTGTCAGTAACCCTGCCCTGGGGCTCTTGCCTTCAAGTCTGTATATTTTATCCAAACCCAATTCCAACCTCTTGGGATTCAGGCATAGGACGGCTGATGCTTGCTTTCAGGCCTGGGGCTGTCTGACCTAGAAAGTAACTCCTCCCTGGTGCTCTGTGGAAAGATGGTGCTCCTGTGAAGTAAAGCTCACTGTAAACTCTGTGAAATGCTCTGCTTTCGCGCAGACACCACCGGTGTGAATGCTTCCCCTGGTCACAGCATGGCTGACTCGTTTTAAGAGGGTGTTAGAAGAAAAACCTTTCCAAAAGCAGCCACACAACTGCGAAGAGATCAGAATGGGAGTAGTCTCAGCAACTTAAGCCATCCATCACCTCATCACTTGCCCAGGGAGAAACTTTCTTCAGGCTCTGTGCTGTGCCCAGTTACCAGCCTTGGAATTACCATTTCCACAGTGTCCATGGCTGCCACAGGGGTTAAAAGTAATCCCCCTTCAGTACACTCTGCAGCCGTAGCCCACAGGACAGATGCCGTGGCAGTGCAGTTAGCTGGGGAGTGAACCTTGCTGTCCCCAGAGGCCTGTTGCCTTTGCGTGCTTCGCTGTAGTGTCACTGGAGGTGCTTGGGCAATCTCAGCCCTTGGTGAGTCATGTGTCCCCCTCAGCGGGTTTCCTCGGAGTGCGTCAGCTGGTCATGTCACACGTGTGCCAAGGGCTGGAGGAAGCCTTGGTGACAGTCCTGGGTTACATCACAGAGGCGGAGGACGTTTGGACAGCTGGTCCTGGTCCCCGCTGAGGCAAGCCTGGGATTGCACGGCACATCTGGCACCTCATCTTGGGGCTGCTCATGAGAAGGGCAGGTGTGGAGCTCAGGGAGGGGAGAGAGGAGCTTAAGTGGGCTGGAAAGACTAACAATTCATACACTCATTGCCCGTTTGGGCTGGGTCAGTAGCAGTCATCCTTTGTGTCTATGCTGAAGAAAGGGTGGACGGATGGACCAATGAACAGATGGAAGGAGGGAAGAAAGGATGAATGTAAGGACGGATGGATGGAAGCTGTTTCATCAGTTAATGTAGAAGTTTAGTCTTGCACAAATAGTCATCATTATTTTAATAAAGCCAGTGCCAAACCTAAATTGCCCCAGCACTCCCATTTATATAATTCCATTCTGTATGACTAAAGGATTTCCCAGCAAACTCGGAGATTAAGACAACTGACCAAAGAATATTGAGACATCCCTGTGCCCTACCCTGATGGGTGCTAGTCTGATCTTCTGACCCCGTCACCAGCCTCCTGATGGGAAAACCCAGTCAGAACTGAGGTGGTGAGATGCAGTAGTGAATAGGCACCAGGAGTTTGTCAATGGGCATTTGTCAGTGGTCCCCAGTGGTGCTGTGACAGTGGCCCTTTCTGCTCTGGTCTGTCAGGCTGGCTGTGATGCCCTTCCTTATAACGGGAAGCAGGGGCAGCTGGAGAAGCCAACACGAATGAGGAAGAGAAGCCAGTTGAGCTGCCTCTCCCAGAGCTGC